TGTCTGTCTGCCGGCCTCCCTGCCCTCCTCGCTGACCAAGAAGTTAGTATTTGCCTCTTTGGCATTTTCCCTACTGGCTCAGGGTGGGATGAATTATGATGTGACACACTCCCTTCTGTACTTCTGAGCAGCCATGGCGATCAAGATAAATCACCATGCTACCCCACAGGGGACATGCTAAGATCCTGCCTTAGTTGTTTTTGGGGCCCTGATCAGGATGCTGAGGATTTGGACACAACTTGATACTATACTCCCTGGGAAGCGAAGACTGTGTACAAGGGAGGGGCCCGGCAAAACTCTGTCAGACGATGGGATAATATACTTAAATGAGATGAGATTATACACGGGATAATTATCCATTATTCAGCTCCACTGCTGTCACATACCATTTGGTCTTTTTTTGAGTGCAAGGAAATTATGTTGAGACCGTGCAATAAAGCGTGAAAATTTCAGGCTATTGACTTGCAACTTCACAGTCTTTTGATTAATAGTTCCCTTGTCTTTTCAGCAGCACATTCCTGGCTGTACTTCGGTGGAGCATCCAAATTCAAACATTAAGCCATGACGATGAGCTGGGTCTGGAGCCAGCAGGCAACAATGTAGGATAACTACACGTCTGTCAAAACCGCTGACAACCAATCGTCAGATTTGAGCCCCCAACCCCAGCCTCCCTCCCGTCTTCCCACCCTCCCCCTTTTCCATGTTAACCAAACCAAAACAATGAAAGGAAAAAAACAACATCAACCCAAATGGCTGATCTGTAAAGTGTGTTTAATCAACACATTCCGAGCTGTGGGGCTGCGGGCCCCGAACAGGCTGACTGCCTGGTGAGCGGGACCACATCTGTTTGTGTACAGGGGCGGTGCAGGCCGCAGCTCTGCAACACAAAAACCTTGGGCATATTTCAACTTTTCAGTGCTGCAATTTGCCCCCCGACTGCTTCCCAAAAAGCATAAATACGGGCTGTGGAATGAGCGGGGGATCTGTTTTTCTCATCCGTTGCGTTGTCGTTGAGGTTCTGGGAACGGAAGGCTGGATTTTAGATGCTAATTACCCGGTCAAACATGTTGGCACGGCGGCTGGCTTTCCTGGCTTGTGGGTTAGCACAGAAGATGCCCGACTCCACAATATGCAGCAGCAAACAAGCACATAAGTGCTGTTTCTATGTCTAACTTCTACTGTCATCCCACAAGAAGGCTCGTCCTAATGTGTTCCAGAGGCTGATATGGCACGTTTCTTCTCTCTGGTATGCGTCGTTCGTGAAAAGCAGAGAGACCACTGCTGGAAGGTTTCTACTTTTAAATCCTGGATCAAGCGTTTAGAAATGTGCTGAAAGATGCATATGCAAAAATGTCTTCTGACACTGCAAACTTGGGTAACACTATTGTCTGACAAGGAGGAAGGTTCTCAGTATTAACTTGTTGGATGGTCTGACAGCTTCTGAAACCCCTTTCTGAGAGCACACACTTCACACAACAACTGTCCAGGTGGCAAATGTGAAAAAACAAACCAGGATTTGCAAACTGTCTCTCAACTTCTCACTTTTCATTCCTCACACAGCTACTTCTGTCACTTCCTATATACAGCTGACTAAAGTAGTTAATACTTTCCACTCATCAACTGTCCCTTTAACAAAAATACTACCTCGTGTTCAGTCACGTGGCTACAGCCCGGCCAACTAGTGTTAGTCCATGTTCACTCAAAGCGATAGATGACATGAGTGCAAACAATAAGACCAGAGTGCTTCAACAAAGCAGCTGTTGCTAACACAGGCATTCACAAATGCACTGAATATGCACAGCCCTCAAGAAAGTGGAAGAAGGTTCACGTTATTTTGTGAAGGTGATGTGTGAGTGATGTTGCCATATAGATCACCTGTGAGGGGATATATTATTACCATGTATATACATCCTCTGGATATATGAAGATATAAGTTTATAACGTATATGAATTTCCCCTTGGGGATAAATAAAGTATCTATCTATCTATCTATCTATCTATCTATCTATCTATCTATCTATCTATCTATCTATCTATCTATCTATCTATCTATCTATCTATCTATCTATCTATATGGAATATCCATATTAAAATGTGTATATGTACATATATTAAAAATATTTTGTTGTGACCATATATGTTAATTATATATATTTAATTTATATATGCAACTTTATAAATATAAAATTGTTCAAATTTCATATATGTTTTTATTTCATATGAACATATATTTAATATATGGAAAATCCAATATATGCACACACACAGTTATTTGTGTATGGGGTGGCTCCTATAGCTACTGCGGAACATAGTGTGTTTAAACAAACATCTTGTAGTAATAATTCATTAATTGTAATCCAGGTAAAAGTTTGAAATAGTCTTAATATTATTATATTTGAAGTCATAATATTCAATGAGATAAAGCACTAACCTTTTGGCATTTCGGTTTCATTAAAAGGCCTGAAATGGTGAGAAACTGAAAAGATGTGTCAGAAAATGACACGTAACCAAGGTTACACTTAGATGCAATACTACATATGAAGAATGTAAACTGGCCTATTCAGTCCTATATCAGCCCTTACATTGTAAGCCAGGGAGCGTGGCAGTAATTACTGCAGGATCTACATATGACAGCTGTGACGGACTGGCAGCCAGACCTCATTATGTTACATACAGTGGTGACGAAGCACCTGTCACCACTGTTTGTATGCAACTGTTTGTATTGTGTTAACACAATTTTTCAGACAAAAAAAGTGAAACCCTGACATGCAGTAACCAGCCACTGACGACCAAGCGCCCGGTGCTGACACCCTGCTCTCTTTTGCTGCAGCGACACACAGTAATCAGGTGAATTTGGCTCAGGTTGTGGAAACGACAGCTCGATCGAGGTCTTGATGAATTAGTGGTAGCGCTCTGTCAGCATCACAAAACATTAATCAAAACAAACTGGGTGCACAGCCCCGACTTTTTTTTTCCCCCTCGCTTTGCAGGTGATGAATAGCTCTGCCTGCGCCGTGTATCACCTGATCTTGCTGAATTTAAATGTAACAGCACAGTTCTCACAAAACCTCTATTGATCTTCCTCCTGGGTTCCCTTCCTGGACTTGAATATTTGAGATAAGCACAGGAAGACCCGGCAATGTTAAGAAGGCCAGGCTTGTATGGTAATGCCACATTAATACAGTCAGAAAATAAATATGTGTTTCTTTTTAGGTCAAGTTAGGATGGAAGTAAAATATATAAATGTGTGATGTAAATTTGACATATTTCTACTTGAAAAGTCCAATGTTTTCCTCTTCTCCTGTGTTTTATTTGAAGTGTTGATCCATGAGAAGATATATTTGTGGTTTTAAGAACCAAAAACCGTCTCAGTGTATATTTACATCTCCTCTCACGTTTCTCTCTGGAGCTCTAGTAACGACAGGTTGGTGAGCCAATCAGAAGAGAGGAGGCTCTGAGCCTCTCTTCTGATTGGCTGACCCTTTGTGTCAGCTAAACACTCAGAAAAACCAAATCCTGCAAGGTTGGATGGTGGATCCAGGTGGGTGGGGCTTGGGGCATGGCTGAGAGTGGTGACTGATTTGTTGTGACATCACAAAGTTCCAGAAGTCCTGATGGCTGGTTTTAAGGCTCAGTTTCTGAATACAGGCTGTGTGCATTTCTCTGTGGACTGAGGCTTTGATACTTTCACAGTATTAATATAGAACCTAGACCTGCTTTATAATCAAACTACACATGGACATCTGCCTTTAGACTATATGGACCTTTAATAGCCAGTAAAGTTTTTCTCAGAAGGTTTTTACCATGAGACTTGCTGCCACCTTTACTTCAGTGAAGCATCCCTATTCTTCTTTCAAAACTGTCTTTCATTAGGTTTTCCCTCAGCAGAGTTGTTCTACTAGAGACAATGTGTCTTGGCAGAGCACCTCACTGTAGGATGATGCCAGCACTACAGAGCTCTCCAAGTCCCAAACCATGAAATGTTAGGAGAGGAAATGTTGTGCTGGTGCTAATGTGGCTTGTCTCTCTTCATCCTCTTCATCTCTGTCTCTTTCTTTGCTCTGTGTATCTTGTCTGGCTTTGATGTGTTTGAACGGGGCTCTCTCGCTGCAGCTACGGCACAGGAAGTGTTTTTTCAGCGCTGTTGCTGACATTTTTGGGGGTATTTTATGCCGTTATTCGAAAATGATAGTAGATAGATGAGATAGATAGATATATAGATTTTCTCTTCGACAAACTAACTAATAAAACATTAAGCTGAAAAGTATTTTGTTTTATTTTATTTGTTTTCAGTTTTTTTCAGTTTGGTTCCTCTTCTCTGTCTAACATTTACATTTATACACATTATATTTATATTGTATACATTTTTTTCAGCTTATCATTGAAGCTTTATGATGAGGTTCCATCATGTTAATTGAAAATGTTCTTTTTTTCTTGAGCATAACTTTATACACATTTCCCCATATATTGGGTGTATTTATAAATTTTGAGATCTCCACTAGAACTTAAAGGTCCATATAGTATGAAGGCAGATGTCCATGTGTTGTTTGATTATAAAGCAGGTCTAGGTTCTATATTAATACTGTGAAAGTATCAAAGCCTCAGTCCACAGAGAAATGCACACAGCCTGTATTCAGAAACTGAGCCTTAAAACCAGCCGTCAGGACTTCTGGAACTTTGTGATGTCACAACAAAGCAGTCACTGCTCTCAGCCATGCCCCAAGCCCCGCCCACCTGGATCCACCATCCAACCTTGCAGGATTTGGTTTCTCTTAGTGTTTACCTGAAATCTGTTTGTATTTGTATTTGATCATTCAGAAAACAGTCAGCCAATCAGAAGAGAGGCTCAAAACTATACTGTGATGGTTTTTGGTTCTTAAAATCACAAATATTTCTTCTTATGGATCATCACAGGACACAGGAAAAGTGTAAAATATGGGACCTTTAAAATTAACTTCTGTGAATTTTAAAGTTTTTTTTTAAAGTCTAATAATACTTACCCATGCATAGCATGAAGTGGGTGCGGCTCATAATGGTACCGCCCCTCGTGGTGTCTCATGTCGATTGGGATAGGTGCGTGGAACGTAGGGAAGAGGTGGTGGGCACCTGTAAGCGCAAAAAGATAAAAATTCACACACCAAGAACAATGACATTCAAAGAAACTAATGCAGTGAATGATGACAATTACACATTTCCCAAAGCTGAATAATGCAGAACAAGACAGACAAATATTGAGGCTGAAATTCAGTTCCTGACAAGCGCCGACGACGCAGCATGAGATGCAACTGTACCATTTTACAGTTCCTGTAATCCAGCAGTAATTGAAACCTTCTACACTGTCTGTGGCTTTTGCTCCAAGAACAGTATGTTCATTAATGACTGGCTCTGTCCAATAAGACCAAAGCAGGTTTTACACAACAATGAACGTGTTTTTATGTGTCAGACAAAGAATGCACGAATCCACCATTTCCTGCCATAAATGGTCTGGTGGCTTGAGGGAAGTCTCATTAGAACAACACAGCCGATCTTCATTAATTACTGTCATTACAAGGACTGAGTAGGAGACATAAGCTCTAATTACAGACAAAAGGCCTACTAATTCTCCCAGTTTCATATGTTTAAGTTTCACATACCTAATGCAGGAAAAAAAACAAAAACAGCAAAGCAGAATTACTTTCCGTGTGTGTGTGTGTGTGTGTGTGTGTGTGTGTGTGTGTGTGTGTGTCCGCATTGTGGAGGGAGAGAGATAGAACATAAAGCAATTCAGCTACCCTGGGTTGATCCCTGGTTGCTATTAGGATTCTTTGTCTGTAAATTGTTCAGGAAACCTGGGATGACCCCGGAGCTGAGACCACCAAGGTTAAAGGTCAAAGCCCAGTGAGAGCAGATCATTATCTCTATCTGATAGGGCGACTGACACTGGGTGAAATTGGGGGAAATGGATTTTCACACCAATGTGGTATAATATCCCGTGAGCAAACATATTAAGGCTGTTAAGTCCACTGTACATTCAACATAACCTACAGTCCTATAGCATTAATTCAGTCAGGACAACAACTCTCTCTCAACACTCAGTTTATTTTTCAACAGAAATACTACTTTCATTCTTAGTTAAATCTTTGACAGGATGCACCCTCCCAGTATATGTGTTTGTGGTGCTAAACCAAAGTCATATAATTCCAACGTTGAATACACAAGAGTAAAAAGGTAGCAAAGAGAGTTCCAGGACAAAGCACTTGAGCACCTTATTCTGTCCCTGTCAACAAACATGCTAACGTTTCAGACTAGAGGCAAGTGATCACCTGCCAACTTCTGTATATAAATGACATGACCTCATAGCTCCATGCTCAGGTGGATACCACTAGGAATAAAGTGCTGAATTTTGAATTCAACTCTACTTTGCAGTTTTTTTGATTGCTGTTAATTACTTAGTGAATCCCAATACTTACTTCTGATTTTTGACATTAAAAGACTACAAAAAATACTGTACAGTACATTATACTGCATTTATCAAGATAACTGGTAAACATGGAGGATGGAAGTTTTTATTACTGGAAAATAACACCTCTCTAATATAAGCTTCTTCCAAAGAAATGCCATCTTCTCTGCTATTGAGATAAGTGTTTATCTTTTTTTCAATCCGCATGAAAAATTCATTTATGGAAAAAGTTCAGGTGTTATATGTTTTGCATTTAAAGCTCAGTGTTTGTCATTGTAATCACAGCAATTATAATATCCCATTGCTTTTCTTCTCAGTTTGTATTTTTCAAACACCTTCCTGTTTGAGATGTGCCTTCAGGCTCCTGACTCGCTCTAACCAGCGCTGTGAAAACAAGGTGTAACAGGACTCTGTGCCTGAAGGCTACGACAGAATGCTGGGTGTTGTTTTTAGGTGATGCCAGTTACAAAGACAGACATTACTGCTACTTAACCCTGATTGAGGCTTTTGTTATTGTGATTGAGGCAATCATCATAACGTTGTACCGTCTTGTTCTTAGTTAATTCTGAAAGGATTAGCCATGACTGAGGGAGGAGAGTTCCCCTCAAGGCAGCTCTGAACTGTGAACCATTTGACTGGTGTGGAATTTGTTTAAGCATCACAAGCCACTGATTGTTTTCCCTTTGCAAACTCAGTCTGGATGGGCCTGGCATGACTGATGCACTGCCACAATGACATTTGCGGAAATGCCAAAGACATAATTGATTTGAGATAAGAATTTCGTACAGCTGGTTGATTCCTGTTTTTTATCTTCATTGGAGGCAAAACCAATCGGAAAAGGGTTTACACGAAGATACATGGAAATACTTATGTCTTATTGGCTGACAGCTCTCTACAATCCTTCAGTTGATGGGGTTACCATGGCAAACACTAGCTCACACAGTCAGTCAGTGTGAGGAAGAAATGGATGTACACAGAGTTTTATTTTTTACCAGTAAAGTGATTGAAGCTGAAGCACAAACATCCGCTCAAGCTGAGACGGGAAATAAAGGTGTGTAAATGTCTATATGAGTTCCACCTTATGTGAACATGGTAGGGGCAGAGTTATTGTTAACAGCGAACGTGCTTTGCATTGCACTGTTGGAAGCTACACGTTAGCAATGTTGGCTTAGTTGAGCCTCCCCTTGGCTAGCGACACGAAACTAGCCGAGTCTCATGTTAGAGAGCCAAAAAGTTTTACATTTTATTGGCCTGCTCATCCTTTACAAACAGTGAAAGCACCTGAGGCAAGTTTTATCACCCATGAAACTTTTTTTGATCAAGTCATACATTGATTACATTGATTAGTTAAAAATAAAAGTTACCACAGCTTCCATAAAACAAAACTTTAGGCGACTTACTGAACTGATAACATTAGTCAGTTTAAAACGTTGGCTCACTCACAAGAGACGTTGGATTAAACCAGGAAATAAACCCGGAATAGACGTGTCACACACATCACTGTAGGTCAGTGTCAGCTGTCAGTGACAGTGGCCATGAACGATCATGAACGTATCTAGAGCCTTCAGACAGTGGACGAACAGTCTCCTGTCAGAAGACGCTTCATGAGTTTGCTCTTTTTTTACAATGGAAAAATGTTGCCATTGTTCTGTTGTCCTTAAACTCTAAAGCTCTCAATCAACATACCATGGTTATAAAAATGATGTGTTTATTATGAATAGAGTGTAGTTAGGCCTACTAGTAAATAAAGTTGGGATAACTAAAAAGAATCAATGCATTTACAGATGCTTTTTCGAATGTGAAAAGTAAGTTATGTGTAGCCCTCACATAACTCACACAAGACAAAATGGATGAAGAGTCTATTTATACATATGTTTTTAAAAGTTTGTTTTTTGATAAAGAAGAAACCAATCTCAACAGTCCACTTTGACAAAACAGTCAAATCTTCCTGAAAGGTTTCTGCGAATGCATTCCTTTCTTCACAGGTGTCTGTCCAGAGTACACACTTGCCATAAAAAAGTGATAAAGATAAGAAAAAGAAAAAAAAAATAGTTTTTAAAGTTCATCTCAGAACATAATAGGGCTTCAAAACACGCTGGGATCATTTCAGCAGGACACTGTACTTCAGAGATTATATACATGGCAGATTTTCATAGTAAAATGAATGAATACCCAGAATTTTTTTTACAAAAAAGTGGATGTCCCCAGGTAAAGTAAGTCTCAAAGTCAATACGTTCCACACACACACTCAGAGAATAAAGAAAATCATCTGTTGAGCCAAAGTGAGTTGTAAAAATCTGTCTAGTGCCCCACACTCCTTATCTCCTCTTGTCTTTGAGCTTCGAAGGCCAAGGGCTTTGTGTTTCTATCAAGATCCATGCTGCTGGATCTCAGCCAGTGACCCTCCATCACTTTTGTGTGTGAGACAGGCGGCCAATTCCAAGTCAACTTGTGTGTGACAAAGCCAAAAGAGGCGCGCAGTAAATGAGTGAGAGTGAGTGAGAGCTGGGAAAAGGAGTTTGAGCTTTGTTTCACAAGTGGAGCCAGAAGTTTGGGCTTTGTCTGAGAGGTGCCCTCTGCTTGTGCTGCCTGGCACATCTCCAGTGGAGAGCATGGGACAAGGAGGCTCGACTATGACAAAGACAGGTTGTGCTAGAAGTCAGGCCAGCACAGTAGCTTCTTTTAGTTGTATTGGAGAGTTGATCATTAAACTGCCAACTAACAAGACCCTATTCTTTTTTCTCCAATTAATTTTTCTGCTAATTCCTCATTACTTGTAATGTATTTTCTTATATTTCCATTTAATAAAGTTTTCGTTCATCTTATTAACCTTTTATCAGCTGTGGTGGCTTCTTCTATTGTTTTATACCTGAGAGATCAAATATTTAGAGTGGCCATTTATTTACATATTTCCAGTAAAGGTCCCATATTTTACACTTTTCTGGTATTTTATTTAGAAGTTTTGATCTCCATAAGAAGATATATTTGTGGTTTTAAGAACCAAAAACCATCTCAATGTAGTTTTACATCTCCTCTCTCAGGCTTCTCTCTAGAGCTCTAGTAACAACAGGTCAGTGAGCCAATCAGAAGGCTCTGATCTTCTCTTCTGATTGGCTGACTGTTTTCTGAGTGATCCAATAGAAATATAGCAGATTTCAGCTAAACACTCAGAGAAAACCACATCCTGCAAGGTGGGTGGGGCTTGGGGCATGGCTGAGAGTGGTGACTGATTTGTTGTGACATCACAAAGTTACAGAAGTCCTGACGGCTGGTTTTAAGGCTCAGTTTCTGAATACAGGCTGTGTGCATTTCTCTGTGGACTGAGGCTTTGATACTTTCACAGTATTAATATAGAACCTAGACCTGCTTTATAATCAAACTACACATGGACAAATACCTTTATACTGTATGGACCTTTAATGAATAAAGTTGTGACAAATACACTAAAAAAAAAAAAAAAGCACCAAGTCCCCAAGAGGCTGATTCCCAGGTTGAGGCTGCTGAATGTGGGGGTGATAAGGTTTGGACAGGGCCCTCCATCACCCAGACAGCTGCATTGTTTCCTGGGCTGCAGGGACAAATACCGACAGGTACGTGGCTAGAACGATTCACACGCCTCAGGTTCATGATTTACTGTCCATGTGTTCCCCTTTGGGTGTGTTGGCAC